AAACAGTCTAGCGGGGCCGACTCACCAGTTCGGCGTGCGGTCTGTTCGGTGACACTTGGCGTTGATAGTACACGGCGTTATTCTTTTGTACCCCATTGTCGAGAAGTTCGGTGGTGCCGGTAGAAGAGCCCGCTGCCGTGTCGTGGACACGAGGTTCAGTAGACAATTCTGATGACAATGTAGGCTGCGTTGCATCCATTGTCTCGTTTTCGTCAGATAGCGTTGGGCAATCGCTCGAGTTCACTGGAACGCTTGTGCATGCCGTGGTCGTTTTCATAGTAGGCGTCTTGAGATTCAAAGTGAAACGCGCCAGGCGTAACAGGTTCACCAGGCATGGCACGGCCGCGCGGACGCGGTGCAAATGCGGTTGCCGGCAGCTGTGCCCTAGGCCAGTCTGAAGCTGCTCACGAGGCTTAGGGTGGTCAGTTTACAAAACACAGAAAAAGATGTTCTCCAAAAACGCTGCCTCTGCGACACAGGCTCACCGTGTAACTGGCATTCACTTCTGCGGCAACGAACCGCGGTCTATCAGCCGAAAAAACTAGTCAAACTGACAAGAAAACAAGGAGCCGAGGTCAGGCACGCCTGCCATCGTGGGCGCTCAGCAGCGCCCCCCGATTTTCAAGAAACCGCGCTTCAAGACCAACAAAAGAGGAAGGCCTATGCATATGCGCTTGCGGACGGCCCTCTGTGCAATATTCATTTACGACTGGTGCGGCGATGGGGGCGCTGGCGGCGGCATTTTTTGCAGCGCCGCCTGGGCAGAGTCTGACGTTCATTTTTGAGCGCCCCCGTGTCACTAGAGGGCTGCGGCGGGTTGTTGTAAACTTTACTTCAAACAGTTTCACGATGAGTAAGAGGTTAACATTTACAGAAAAGGTAGTTTATGATACGTACTGCCCGAATATGTGGTTTCCCAAAAATCGACTTTTTCGCGATATTTTCATTTTCAAAGGCCGTGTCCCCCCTTAAGGGGGGACACGGGTCTTAGAAGGCCGAAAATCGCAAAAAAATCGACTTCTGGAAGCTGACATTTTCGAAATTTGTACCTATTTTTGCACCTATCTAAGTAGTTTCTAGCTTCTCGCGTCATTGTTTCTGGCACAAAACCAATTTATAACATGCCTGTGAGATGAATTTGAGCGCAAACTGACGCTAAAATTGCGCTTTTTCCGCGCCAAACTGTTGCCGTTACACACAAGCTGTCGTGTTCATCTTGGTCTCGTTTGGAAGGGTCGTTCTTCATCTTCAATTTCCCACCACCGCTGGCTCGCCTTACTCATTCGTTTTTTAGCAAAAACGCGTCATCGAGAAGCACTAGTGCACGATTCAATTGGCTGCTTCGGGCACGTGACAAAACCTAGGCATCCGATTGGCCAAGGGGCGCTTTCGGCGTCTGCTTCACCATCGGGATGCGCACAGATATGCGCCATTTTGTCATAGTGCTACTGGCTGCCCGCGGCAGTAAAGAAGTTCCGCGCTGTAGTATTTTCTGAAGCGGGTGTGGGGGTCGTTCGTTCGCTGTGAACTTCAGAAAGAGTCCCGCTATGGCTCAGGACAACGAGGATAACGAACTCGACGCGGTCACCGGCAGTCGCCGAGTCACCGATGTAAGCCTAACTCGCGTACGAGCCTGTTGGTTGCCGACAACGTCACTGAGAACGGCTGTGTTTTGCAGCCTCATCAGTTAGAAGACGGCAAGTAAAAAGCAGAAGTGAAGCTAGAAGAGATATCAATCTTTGTAGTGACGGAACAGAAGCGCAGTCTTATAGCTAAACGTGCCGATGCCGTGGTTCCCCCCGCCTGACGAAAGGACCTTGAACTGCGCGACAGGTCGTCAGAGTGGAGTACCACAGAAAGTCAATCCGTTCGCAGTGAAAATGCTCGCCGCCCCGGCAACAGAAGCTACTGGCAAATGGGAGACTGCTTTTAACGACGTGTTCGCAACGTTGTCGCAATCTCCGCTCGAAAATGCGGCAGTCTTACAAGAAAAGGAAACTAGCACCTCGGCACTCACATATCCTCGAAATTGATGGGCGAGGGAGCAACTTTGGTTCGCGACTTTTACAGGTAACTCATTCTGGACAAGCCGGAAAACATCGCCGTGTTATTCGATGTATCGCGGATAACGCACACACATTTGTCGCACATCGCCGTGAGTACAGCTACCGAACTGATAAGCGGCCTCGCGGCAGACGAGCACACGGCGACAACTTGCTACAGCACTAGAAGAAACTACTTGCCCGTGCAAACAATCAGTCCTATTACATTCCCAGTGCTTATTAACTGACCAAAAGTATGTGTACCATAATATTTTTTATCTCGGAACGGCGAAATAAAGTTTTAACAGCATTATGCTTGAAGCACAGATTTTGACCACTTTCTTTTGCTTGTTCGGTAAAAGTGGACCTAGAACAGCTAGAGCTGTAATTGTTTTTGTACAATGTAGCTAAATGTGCACAAAAAACAATGCTGGAAGCCTATTTTTAATGAGCAGCTTCATTTTTTATTTTAACATAAAAATTTCTGTATTTAGTTACATGCAATGAACTGTGCTGTAATGCAATGAACTGTGCTCTAATTCGAGAAGTACTCGTTCAATTTTCGATCAGCTTGCAGCGTTGCAATCCTTAGGCTTTCTAGCATTCATTTATATGTCAATGGCCATGCAATTCAAGTACATACATTTTTACAGTTAAAAATGATAGAATTCTATGTTTTCTTCATTTTCTCAAAATAGCAATTTTTCACACCCTGCATGAAAATTACTGGAATATATCGGAAACTATTACAGATAGCAGAATATTTTTTTTTGCCGCATGAAGCTATATGTTTGGAGCACACAACATAGGAAGCAGATTTTGATTCATCTTGATGCAAGTTTTTTAAACTAGTCTTTTGTGTGACCACACAATGGCCACATTCCGAGCTGTAAAGTTTAGTGTACTGTAAAGTAAGAAATAATGCCTCAATCAAAAAAGTGCTTCCTATGTTGTATGTTTTATGCTTTCTACTGTCAGTCCCTATGTCATTTGACGGGTGGTTATTTTTCCATTGTGGTAAGAACAATAGAAATTGTTATCTTGATTATTTAATTAACTAATGAAGCTACAGAAAAAATCACTACATTTTTAGAATCAGGAGAACAAACTAAGTAAGCATGCCAACTTTTGTCACATTTGGTTCATAAAATTAATGAGAGAGCCCTAAGACCCATGTCCCCCCTTAAGTAGTCACCTGTGCCCACATTCACCTGAACGGTGACTTGACACCATCGTGAAAGTGCACTGAGCATCTGAATGTGCTTGCATGCACGCAGGAGCTTATCTTAACGTATTATATTCCATTTGACGGGGCCTGCACCTGTAGCGTAGTGGTTAATGTCAGGGCTAGAGTACACTAAACTGGCAATTGCATGACTTCCTAGTGTGAAAAATCAGATGCCGAAGATATTGCACACCCGAAATTTCAGACATTCTTATATAGTGATGCCGATGCGGCTTATGACTGTGCCATGAAAGCGTCCAAAGTTTCAAGCATGTCTGAAAAATTGGGTGTCCCGAAATTCTAGTGAGGGTCAGTTTAAATCCTACTAGAGGGTCAGTTTAAATACTACTAGAGGGTCAGTTTAAATCCAGCCGTAGCAACACCTCCAGGTATGCTTATATTTATGTTCGTGTTGTGAAATACGCATTATGCTGACAGCTCCCATAGTTCATCAGACCTTTAGAACCACTCGTATTAACTAAAGAAAGGCTAATTCACATAATTGAATTCTTGCTCTTTTTCCTAGCTGAACAACTCTGAATGTTTGCCAATAAACTTATAAGCCATCACGGAATTCGTGCTTTGGCTGCAGACCAGAAGTCTGTGTATGTATAATGAATGTGCACTACAATTCACAACTTCTCTACAACACACCTGTTGAGTGGACAAGTACTGAACACAAGAGAACCACTGCATTATGCTTTGCATAGCAGACCTGTGCCTCACATGCCTCAACTCGTCTTGATCTGGAGCAAATTGAGTTAGGCCAACCAATATGCAAGTGATCTGTAATCATGATTAATACTTTAGACTAGCTATTCACATTATGATAATTACCATCCTGCTGTGCTGTATGTGCAGCTTTATAGTTTTTGTGCACCAATATGTGCATGCATGTGGGCCAGTTAAAGCTTTGCTTCGACACCTCAATGTTATGCGCGAAGGGGAAAAAAAAGGAAAGAAAAGGGTGTGGCGGAATGTTTGCTCTCTCTCAAATGCCGATCTGCGATGCACCTGTGATATTCTTCTCCCTTTTTCATCTCTGCCATGTAGAGACCCTCCTCCTTTGAATGCCGATGCAAAGAGAGCAAAAAAAAAGCTGCCGTGGAATGTTGGTTCTTTCTCAAATGCCGATCTGCTTCTCTCCGCACAGAGACGCTCCTCCTTTCTCGTGCTGGCCACGCTGCAGCTGAGGGTAGCAGCGGAGACGCAGTCGTTGTCGTTGTCGTCTTTAGAGAGTGTCGGCGCTGGACATTGCCTTGCGCAAGTTCTCTTGCCAGGGAAATGCAGAAGCCGAAGTAGAAATGCTTTGCAAGCTGCATGCATGCGAAATTGATTGACTCCCTGCAAGGCAAATGTGTGTGTACAAGCATCCCCGATTACTTCAATTAATGACGGATGACCTGTGATTTGTGAACAAATCGAAGTCTTCTGAAACTTCCCCCTCGTGTGTTAGCTCAATGCACATGCGCCACTGTATGGTGAGCCCTCCATTCATTTAGCTTTCATTAATTCAAACATCTTTCAAGTTGAACAAATATTTGGGCTCTTCAAGTTCAAATTGTCTAGATTTGACTAGCTGAATTTCCAAACATCGACACTGCAAAAGCTGCATTATTAGAGTCTCCCTTCTCCATCAACAGGACATCGTGAAGCATATTTACCGCAAGCACCAATACGAACTTGCAAGATGCAAAAGCGAAGCGCCGTGCTCCTGAGAGCGGCATCCTTACCTTGTCTTTGAGGTGGCTGTCAACAAAGCTCGAAAACTCGCGGAGCAGGAAGCAGGCGAGGGAGGTGCCACTCAGCACAGACACCAGCTTGCGCACTGTGCTCTGGGTCGACTGACGCACCAGCAGGCTCGAGTGGCTCAGGCCTCTCAGAAGGGGCACTGCAAAGGGCCTGCACAAGCCGCAAATGACATGAGGGTTAACTTTTTTTTTTGCTTTTTCTAAAGCGAACACTACCATGCAGATGGTATTGGGAAAAAAAACAAAGATTAGAGATAAAGAGAGTCAAATGAGTGATCACAGTGACATGTTCACGTGCTAATTATATTTCACCGTGGAAAAGTGCTGAACACTCACTTGAGATTAGCAAAGCAGGAGTCGGGATGGTCCAAAATCATCCTCGTGATTAGTTGCAGCACTAGTAGATGTGCTGCAAAGGCAAGAACAAAGCTTGTCAAAAAGAGACGCGACACAATTATTAGATCCAAGTTTTCTCATTAGTCTTAAGACCACTCACAGCTGTACAGCAAAGCCAAAGTCCAACCTGCAATGGTAGCTCAGTGGTTAAGGCATAATGCCACTAAACTTAGTGCGTTACAATTGCTGGCCACAGCGGCTGCATTTCGATGGTAGCAAAATACAAAACCAACCACATAGTACTTACATTTAGGCCATAATAACAGAGCCCAAGGTGGTCAAAATTCTTGTCTGGGCACATAAAAAGCACTAAAATTTAACCATGGTGTCCTAACATATACCTGTTTTGCCTCGTTGGTTATGCATTAATGTCCTCACAAAGGCAGAACACAATTATCAACGCGAAAGCTCGGACTTTGAAAGCATCGAAATTGTTATAAAGGAAATGCTCAGCCCCAACTTGAAATCTTACATAACAAGCCACACTTCTGAGTTGGATTGTTTGAGCAGCCGTGCGGTTTTCATGGAGCTCTAAATGACAAGACACTACTTTGGCTTCATTTTATGTTTTGGGGACTCTGAAAAACACTCAATCTCATTGGAAATAAGACGAATAATTACTATGGCTTTGTAAGTCATTACGTTTTCCGTATGGGCACACTAGGACACATTTTTCTTCCATGCACTCACTCACACAGTTCACTTGCACTACGGAAGTGTGCGCCGGTTGCTCTGGTGCTGAAGCAATTACAGTAAAAGCTCGTTAATTCGGATTTCACGGGACCGGAAAAACTGTCCGAATTAACCGAATGCCCAATTAAAGAATGAACAGGGAAAAACACATTTAAAATCAAGCTGCAGAAGCATACCTTTATTTGTTGAAGTATTTTGTAATTGTCGTCTGCGTTTTCGCGTAGATTCCGGCTGACATCACAATTTTTCTTAACTGTTCCAAATGGCCAACAGCACGCAAGCTGTCGGGAGTGTTCAGGCAAGCGTCCCCTAATATTAACAGCGCCTCCGAGACCTCCCGTGAGGTGCGATAAGGTAGCGGCTGTATTTCCTCGCATGATTCTTCGTCGGAATCGTGGTCTTCAAGGGAGCCCCCGACATCATTCATAATCTCTTGATCGGTCAGGAGACCACTCGTGGCGATACCATGATCAATCGCGATGTAGTCCTGAAAGGTCACATCTGTGGGAAGGACAGCATCGAAAGTCATTGTCGGTGGACTCTGCTGACACCTCCTCGATGCCATCGTCAGCTACTGCTGCATGCTCGGGCCTCACAAAACCGCTGTGCCGAAAACAGTTGGCGGTGACTTGCGGTGGAGTGTTTTTCCACACGAGGGCGATGATGTGCACTGCGCCGAGTAAGTCCACTTGATACAACTTTCCAGCTTCTGAGCATAGGATCATTCGCTCTAGCAGGTGCTTGCGGTACTTCGACTTCACGTAGTGAATGATACCCTGGTCCATCGGCTGAAGAGCAGACGTAGTGTTGGGCGGCAAAAAAACTACTTTGATGCTCTTCAGTTCGACTGTACAGTTATGGGCACTGCAGTTGTCAACAACCATAATTATCGTGCGGTCCTTCGACGTGAAGTGCCGGTCCAACCGCTGCAGCCAGCCGCGAAAAATGTCCGATGTCATCCATGCCTTCCTGTTCGCTGTGTACTCAACAGGAAGGCTTTTGACGTTCTTAAAACAACGTGGCTTAAACGCCTTCCCGACAAGTAGTGGCAAGCGCTCCGTGCCAGTCATATTGGCGGCAAGAAGCACAGTTATCCTTTGCTTGCACTTCTTGCCACCAATGCACGCGTCCCCTTTGAAAGTCACCGTCTTGTCGGGCAGAGCTCTGAAAAATAGAGCAGTTTCATCTGCATTGAACACGCCCCGTGGTTCATATGCGGCGATGTGCTCCAGCAGCTTCACATTTCTCCACTCGGTGGTCAAGCTTTCGTCAACACTGGCCTTTCCACCACACACACTCCTGAAGACAAGTTCGTGTCTCTCTCGAAACCTCGCAAATCACCCTTCTGACGCTTTGAACGATTCAATGTTCATCATTGCAGCGTACTTCTCACCTTGCGGCATGATGACAGGTCCGCTCAAAGGCAGATGCGCGTTGCGACAGTCAGTAATCCACCGGAGCAAAGCTTCTTCGCGCTGGGGATGAGCTGCGGTTCGCAACCGCTTTCTAGAGGCATGAAACTTCTCACTTTCGAAGGCTTGTCAAATCTGTTGTTCATTTTTCACGTACGTTCCCAACGTGCTCCGCTTCACGTTGTACTTGGTCATAACCTGCTGTCGCGATTCGCCGTTCTTCAGTGCTTCCAAAATTTCCACTTTAGTCGCCAAGTTCTTCGCGACGTAGTTCTGCCGCTTTTTCGGCGTTGCCATCACTGTAGCGCACGATGGTGGTGGCATGCAAATAAAGTCACAATGGAAGAAAAAGAGAACTCCGCAAGAAGAGATGGTTCCGACACGACAACACAAGGGAAACTGATGTTGGAGGCGCTGAGTGGAGAAGAAAGAAGACGCCGACGTTCCGTGACGCTGCGATCGCCCCCACTAGTTGATGATGATGGCGATGCCACTCAGGTTTCAGTTTCACTCCAGTAGGGCCAGCGCTGCTTTATCACACTTTTGTGTAGCAGCAGCCGTCAGCATTTGTCCGAATTAAGCGGTCCCATAGATTAACATGCACTTTGGCCGGGACCAATAGAGCCATCCGAATTATCCAAATTTCCGAATTAAGGGTGTCAAATTAACGAGCTTTTACTGTATTTCGATATGGACTATTCCACAAGTGCCAAATCAGAATCTCATTTCTTGGATGTCAGTTCATCAGACGAGGATTTACTAATGATTTCAGACTCATATGATGATGAAGGAGTGAAATCTTGAAAGTGTGCGCGATGAGATGATCCGAATCGAATCAAAGGTGACTCTTCGCCAGTGTTTAGTACTAGAGCAAAACTACTTTTTACTAAAAAGTACTGTGGTGCTCTTATTTGTGTATATCCGTGACTTATATTTAATACACTGAATAATTCTTATTTAAAAGTACGTGAAAGTGTTTCTTTTTTAGGAATTTACTTGATGCTACTATGAATAAACTAAATCATGTGTATGCAACCAAAATGACATTTTTGTCTAGGTTTGATTAAATAGTGAATCTAAGGTTCAAAACAAACAGAAAGCAAATAGTAAATTTAGTCGAATAATTTGGAATCGAATTCAAATAGAATATATGATCTATAATAAAGAAAAAATGGGCTTATATGTCATAAGCCAACTAACCTGCACAATATTTTTTTAGAAGTTGAAACGCGGCCTGTGCAAATGCCAATATTTTTAGTTCAAAGGAAGTAGAAGCAACTTTGAATAGTAGCAAGATTTTACTTTCAGTAGAATGCATGTGATAATTTGTAAAATATGTTATGTTTTAATATTTACTATATCAAGAGCCCATAAGCAGACATAACAAGCCTTTAAATGACAAAATATATTAATCATGTGAGGGTAACACGTTCACTTAACTTTGAAGCGGGGCTTCGCAGCAGCGCAGATTTTTTTTTCTGAATAAATGTTATCCTAACTTGGCATCGCTTGACTGCAGTGAAATCATCTTTACAGTATATTTTATGGGAATTATTATACATTCAATTAGTGCTTTCATGGCTTAGCACTTCTCTACGCAGTGAAACCACCTTTACAAGAGGTTCAATGTGGACTAATATACAACTATTAGTTAATTTAGAATATTTCAAAATTTTGGACAAATTTAAATTCAAATCAGACTATACCTATTTGAATATTCGAAGCGTCCGAATAATCACACAAGCCTATTTTTGTCCCTTCACAGTCCTGGAAAAAAAATTTAAGAAAGTTTTTTTAAAATAAAATTGAAGAAATTATTTCAGCAATTTTAAAAAATTACACATTTTGGACAGCTCCTTATTTTTTAAAAAAATGCCACCATCAAAAGGTAGAATGCCTATCAGACATATTCAAAATGAAGCAATGATTAGAAAAGGCCTGCCTTACTGTCTTCTGATGCAGCCTGCAGAAACTTATCAGCAAAGAATGGCTGCTTCTCTTGGTCCAAGAGTTGTGTGACCATGCTTTTGATCTTGTTCTCTGTAATAAAAAAAAGGTATACATAAGGCTTACCAGCAACTATGATACCACACACACAATATCGAAATGAGATCAATCAAACCACTTGCAACAAACAACACATTAGAGCACATATAGAAGAACAGCACACGTTCCAACCTAGCAGGATTGAAGTTCGGGAGACAGCAGTGGGGAAGGAGGGGGAAGTGATTTCCTCTTAAAGATGATAGTCTTTCTTGGGGTACATTCGACACAAGAATTTTGGTCTGTCTGTCTGTTCGTTTTTCCGCCGAAATGATACTAGAAGAAACAGCCAAAATCCCAGCCAATCCACAGCGCCCACCAATACTGCCAAAGTTTCAGCAATCGTACTAGTATGATTGTCAATTAAAAAGCAATTATTGTGCACCATAACAACACGCATATATTCTGCATATATATGCTCCTACTAGAGAACGCATACATAAGTAATCCTAAGGACCATAGCATTTATCACGCTGCACTGACAATGAAACGCTACGCACAATAAGGCAAGTGTTTCTAACACCCTGCTAAGACAACACGGTGGTGGCACCTACCTGTCGCTTTGCGTTCTACACCTTATCACCTCCAAGATGGGCGCACATGCCGCGTGCTGACTGCTTCACAGGTCATTTTTGATTTTTTTTTTTAAGATAACTGCCAGATAGCGCTCATATCTCATGTGCCTCGATGCGCTCATTCGCCTCCACTGCATGGATCGAGGCACTCTGAAGCAGCGCCTCCAGAATACCATTCCCCGATTTTATCGCGCAGAACATCAAATAAACGTTTTGTTCACTCTCCTGAGACACAAGACTATCGTCTTTCGACAACATTTGCAGTGAAATATGCAGATAAGGGGCCAATTTTTTTTCATATCCGGCATTACTTAAACTGAGACATTTGCGACGCGCTGTCGTTGCTTCTGTACACTGCGACTACAAACGCACGGTGGTTGAGGGCCTCCATGCATTGTTTTCGGCACCTGCAGCCACTTCCCCGAAGATGGCAATCGCTCTCATGCGTCCAAACTCGTACCACTTCGCACCCTCGCACTTGGGGAGCCTTTTCCGAAACAATGGTTCTGCCTGATCACTTACTTTCGGCAGAAAGTTGCATTCCACAAGAAATCCTGTAAATAGGCATTCTGTGCTTATTGCACTGTCTTTGAAAGAAACTTCTGATGCTGTCCTGCCTTTCCACAGCACGAACCCACTTCTGATGCTTCTGTGAAGTGATGTATCAGCCTTGCAACCGTGCAAAACCCTTACATCACAGGCGCTAGTGGTATACAGAATCAATAATTGCAACCTTTCCACGAACTCACAAAGCTCACAAACTCAGTCGTGTGAAAGTCCAGAAACACTTGTAAATAATTCTTTACTTTTGAAAATACCATCGAATTTCCAACTTAAACTCGCGGAAACTTGCAACTCCCAAAACAACGTAACAAAGGGTCCGTTTGATTCACCTCTGCTATCGGAACCAGTTCACAACTGTGCACAAGAATTTCAGGAATGGTGCAGCGCGAGTTCAGCGGTGCAGGCACAGTGCGACACCTGAAACGATTGATGAGGTGCCAACAAGGTGCAGGTCTTAATCCTGTTCACTTGATGTACACCATCCAACTAACACTGACCGATGGAAAGCCACACATGCGGAAAGTTTATGAGGTTCGAACATTTTGGCACTCCTACTCCCACCCCCCCACCCCAACTTCTGTTCACAAATCACAGAAGAAAACATAACAGATTCCCTGTGGGAATTTACAACACACTTCTCCATTACCTGTACATAACCATCATCACATAGTGTTCCTCATCTTGATCGTTAGTGGATATAGCCTTTGAGTCTGTTCTGTGCCTCGGAGGTGACTGTTTTTGGCCATGTCTTCCAGGCCTAATAAAGACATGTAAAAGACTATGTCACAAGTGGTGGAGGTCGCTCCTCGATTCCCCGTCCCTGCTTGCTTGCTTTACCTCCTGGAGCTTCACTCAGGTCGCCGTTTGGGCTATTAGTCCACCAGCATGCCGCAGGACAAACCCTCAGGCGCTTCTCCTTTTGCTCTTCCTGCTACGACTGCCGCAGCTACTCACTCTTGGATCGTCAGTGGACCCCCTTGCGAGCCGCCTCTGGTTGCTGGACTCCGAAATGAGGACGTGGACGACTGGCTACACCAATATGACATAGTGAGTGCAGCAAATCTGCACGGTTGCAGCTGGACGACTCTCCTGCGGCCATGCCTGACAACCCTACTGTCGACCCCTCTTTACAAGCCATGATCCGTGCAATGATACGAGAGGAACTGCAGTCGCTCGGTTTTGAAGCACGTCAGCTTTATTCGGGCAACCCCAGTACAAATTTACGGGACGTCGTTAAGGAGTTGTCAGCTATGACTGGTAACGCGTACACAGGTCCTCACGTCTCTAAAGCCCCACTAACTTACGCACAAGTCACCGCACTTACCCCAGCCTTTGTTTCATCGGTGCCAGCGACGACGACGCCAGCCCACCTGGCGTGCCTGGTGCCCAGAAAGCAAAACCAGCCTTACTATGCACGACCGGCGCCAGCCCACCTGGCTTCCATACTATTGGCTTCGACAAAATTCCATAGTGGCTTCCCACATACTAATGTGAAGCTGCCTTCCTTGCCATAGCATGAACCCATGCTGTGAAGTCAATTTTACAACCAAACTTGCTAACCCGCACCCCAACAATAACTCCGAATTTTTCATTTTCAGTATATTGTATTTACTCACTGCGCACTTGGGCCACTGGCGGGTGGGCGGTCCCACTGAAAACGTGGACGAATCGTCGCTCTGACCACTGACTACGCGCAAAAAGCACAAAAAGCATTGGCATCGGAAAAGGATTCGTTCTGTCACTGCACCTCAGGGGCCCAACGAATTTCTCTACGACAAACCCGGTAACAAGAATGCAGCGTCGAATAGCGACGCACACACGTTGCGGTTGTACATCGCGCCGTCGGCATGGTGGGCGTGATTTTGCTTTGTTTTTGCGCCGCTGTGTTTGCGTCATGCTGTATGCAGAGGCTTTTCTGCATTCGACAGATGGCGCGCTGCCACAAAAGACGCGACATTAAAATTTTGATGGACGTCGTCTGCACTCGCACTGGTCCCATCTGCTTAGCATGCTATAAACTACGTTTTGACTTTTACTGCATCGTTATTTTGTGACATAATGGCATGACTAGATGTTTTAATAATCAATAGCACTGGCTATCACCCCTAAATAAAATGAACGGATATATTAGAGAAATAGGTAAAATTTTTTTTTTCAGGAACCAAGGTGTGGGAAGGGCTCATTATGCGAGCCAGTACATTGCACAATTAAATACGGTAATCATCATAGTTCCCCAACTTATTTCGTGGTCCATACATGAAATTTCACTGTAACGACAATACACGGCAACAAACTTTCTTCATGCATCTTGAAAATCTTGTTGAAGTGGGATTTAACTGCATGCTTAGTTTTTCTATCAAATGATGCCCCAGTTATATAATAGTTTTGCACGGGTTTCTCATAGTAATGTGGTTTCGGTTCCGATCTGACTTCGACTGACTTGGATATGTTTTATTAATCTCCACCAAATGTAAAGCAAGCACACAATGAGGTGCAGCAGCGTATTCAAAACCTGTTTGAGGCTAAAGCACTAAAACTGTCACTGCCAGTAAAAGTTGGCCACTTTGCCAACCTTGAAGTTACCTATAAGTGGCAGGCAGGCATGCTGCAAGCCATGGTGCATTTACCACGATATATCCCAAGTAAGCACTGCCCCTCACTGCAAAAAGATAATCGAACAAGACTTGAAGAGGGACCATTTGTCGGTTGAGGACCAAAATTCAAGATGGTGGTGCAAGAACTTTCAAGAAGAATGCATGCCTGTTTTTCTAATGAAATGCTTTACTGAATACACAAGCATTCACAGTTCTCGTGCAAAACTTTGTGCGTTATGACAAGGAAGGAAAGATGCTTTCCAAATGTTCCAACAATTTGTGACAACTCGTTACGCAACCACGACCCACCAAACTGTAAAGGTACAACCCACCGAACTGTAAAGGAGACGAGAAGAAACTACATGCTAAGCGATACCCTAGCTTACCCAAAAGTAATGAATTTGCACTTACTTGCGAATAAATAAAGAACATCCGAGAATTCATATTGACATCCAAAATACATTCCGCCAATTCTTACATGCCCTGTTCAATAGCACACATTATGTCTAATTTCTCCTCATTTTCAGCCCTCAGTGCTTTTGTCCCAGCTTCGGCAAGATGCAAGTACAAAGCAGCACAAGCACACACACACAACACGTAAAAAACAACACTCCCGAACCTCCCCAGCTTTTGCGTGCAGCACGGCACATCCACAGAACACTTAGACACGGCACCGAAAGAACAAGAAAGAAAGCAGAGCAAGCGCACACCGAGTTTGTGCAAAGCACCAATGCATGGACAACATCAGATGCCTGGCCCGCCGAGTTCTGAACTTCCAATTTCAGAGGCAATGTACTTCGTGTTGTGGAAAAAATCCAGGAGATGGCACTCATCAACACAGCTGCCATCATTATCAACTCAAACAAGCGAGGTGTGTTTCCATCTTTGGGACTTGCTGTTCTGTCGGGACGCCCAGTGGGGGACGAAAAGCTGTGGCGAGTGTGCAACAAAAATAGGAGAAACTACGTATTAACCTATATATACATGATAAGCTGGTACGATTATAGCGGATACAAAATTTATTATGTTCAATTGACGCCGAGTCGGAAATTTTACTACTTTTAAAACAAAACTACTGTTTAAGCGGGTACAATTCATCGATGTTTTACTGTACCCTCATAACCCCTTATAAGAGGCATGCACCGAAGAGCAATTCTAGTCTTTTATAAGAGGTGTCTCTTATATGCAAAGTACCACGTATGCGTTTTCTTAACATCACCTAGCCCTGTGGTTCTCAAAAGAGGGTCCCCAGACCCTAGGGTGTCCGCAAAGCCATTTTTATGGTCCGCGAAACCCTCACCCGCATTTTTCTTTAAGCGTGACTGTGCCGCACATTGATGAACTGTCCAAAATGAAGTGATGTGGCACGTTTGTTTGATGTTTTGTGTAGCAATAAAAGGTAGGCTTGTGCGAATATTCGAACGCTTGAAATGTTCAAACGAATAGTAGAGTATTCGAATTCGATTCGAATTTGAATTATTGGAAATTTCGAAGTGTTTGCAATGAATGAACAGGTGTACATTAATCCGCATGTAACGGCTTGTAAAGGTAGTTATGCTGCAGTGTCGGAGTGCTAAGCCGTGAAAGCACCCAACCTGAAAAAATCCGCTTTGCCATGAAGTCCCCCTGCAAATTTAAAGGGGCCCTGCAACACTTTTAGAGCATAGTCAGAAAACGCTCTTGATTGATAGTCGAGACTTCCAAGAACACGCGAGCCAAATATATGGCAGCACGCGTCCTGCGATTCACAGTAAATTCTCAAAGCTAGCTGAAAATTGCTCTCTTCTCTCCCCAAATGACACCACAAGCTCAAAATCACTCGTCGCAGCTATTGCATCAGCCATTGGCTGAATTGAATTTGGCGTGCTCGGTCGCCACTGGAGCCGCAGTGGGATGCCGCGACGTGTCCACACATGCCTGCGCGATCACGCTGAAAAGCCGCGTATTCTAAGAAAAAATTAAAAAGAGGTGCTCATGGTCACAAGGTGCGTGTGACGTATCTTCTTTCGCCATGCCATTCCTCCCTGCTTAGCTTCCAGCTATTTCGTGGGGACGAAAAAAGAGAATTAAATTGCAGCGTGCGACTGATTTTTGGAACTCCGCTACTCGTACTGGACTGATTCTAACATTTTGCATTAGTAAATTTGCGAGGCAACAAGCTTGTTTACTGGCTCCATGGCTTCTCGAAAAGGTGTTGTAGTGCCCCTTTAAATGAACATGTTACCCTCTAATCAGTTCATCATTTTATTAAGCTTAAAAGCTTGTTATGACAGCTTATATGCTCTATGTAAAATAAAATTTAAGATGTTACCTATCTTACAGGTTATCACTCGCATCCTACCGAAACACATATCACGCTACTACTAAAAGTTATTTAAGCTTTCTGTGAACGAAAAAAAAGACATTTGAATAGGGGCCTTATTTCAATATAAAAACATAATGTACTGCTTAGTAAGGTCATGATGAATATGCCCATTTTTCTTTGTATGTCATATACACTATTCAAATTCGATTCAAAATTATTCGACCAAAATCACTATTTGCTTTGAACCTAAAATTCACTATTCCCACAAGCCTAATAAAAGGCACCTGTTTCAAGCTCAAGTTGTGTTCATTTACCTACGAACCCCCCTCCACCGCCCCACCTTCGGCCCCTCCGCTGCAAGGGGTCTCCCATCACTTCCACCAGTCCTCAAGAAGTCCCCAACACATCCATGGCTGAGAACCACTGACCTAGCCTATTTCAATGTAGGCACACTGGTGTCTCTTATGTTCCAAGCGCGTGCGTCTTTTATAAACGTGTTCAACTGTTCAATCATGCACACATCTGAAGACTCTCAGAAGTCCGATTCCAAGGAACTGCTCCTGAGGGATTCTGTAGCGGTGGGGAAAAAAGAAATAGTGGGAGCGGAGGGGAGGGGCCCTTGCTTGGTCACATACTTCAAATCTGCTGAAAAGTTGAAGGGGCTGCTTGATCGGCATTTTGCGGTAGTGCCAATGCAAATGGCCATTGGCAAACCTGCAGACAGAATGCCGACCCATAAATCCCCGGGAGAGCTCACTGCTTCTTTCAGGGGCATGTCAAACTTAGTCGCGACGAATGCTCACCGGATGGGGAGCCTGTGGGCTGCAAGCGGAAGAGAAGGCAGGCTGCAGCCAAGCCCTCGCAGACTGGTCCGGGTTGCAATGGCTGTGCCAAGGCTCGTTCTGCCGCCTTCAGCACCAGGCCTAGAATGGGCTCCACCTGCTTGCAGCCTGGCATACCTGGGTAGACAACCGAGCAGAATGCAAATCGTCGCCACTTATAATGGGAAAACGATAGTCATTCCCGAAATTTCGACCAAAAGTTGCAAAGAGTACTAAACTCTATTCACAGAAAGATGCCCCAAAGGAATGCCAAGCCAATGTAGGACAGCCTCTTCCACATGCCTAAACAGAGCATTACTATTAGATACCCCGAGCTAACAATACTGCCTTAGTTTTGTTAAATTTTCGTTCTCTTGAAACACACACAAGCAGCACTAGCAAATCGATGGTGCCCTTACACATCCTGCACACTTCTAGGACTTATACCCGGGCCACACGGGCATAGAAAATGACATTTGGTGGCGAAGGCCTTCAGTTCCCGAATGACATTCGTTTCGCCGGCGCTGCTACACGTCCAAAGCGAATGACATTTGACTTGATGATGTCGATCACAGCACCTTCCAAGTGAGCATTGAGTGAATAGCAATAAAAAAAATTAAGAAGCATTTACAAGCTTCATACACATCAGATAATCATCAAATGAAGAAATAAGCATATTACGCTGTCCTAAGTTTTAGTTTCTTGCTTTGTTTTACAACGTTGCAGCCGACCGTAGCAACCTAAGCCAACACTAGTCAGATCCACAGTGTAAATAGACACTAAAATTGACAAGCATTTCATTATCAATACTTTATTTTCTTCGTATAACGTTCAAAGCATCTTTTTAGGACTTTAGTGCAAATAAAAGACGGGAAATTTCATTTTTAGCTCAATATGATTTGTTTTATATACTTTCAGGTAAATCGTACTTCGCGAGCTGTGTCGTCGAGAGTAGGCATTTCTCAGTCAACTGAGTTCTGGCGAAGGCAGTTGGCGGCGAATGGCATTCGAATGGCATTCGGATGAATGCCATTTTGTTCGCCCGTGTGGCACCGCGCGAATGGCAATAAATCTGAAGGCATTCGGGGGTAAATGCCATTTTTTCTGCCCGTGTGGCACGGGTATTACTGCAAAAAGAGAACAGTGGTTTCCAGCAAGATCTCTATGACAATGTCAAGTGTGCAAAACTACCATGAAAGTGCCCGTGCCTTTCTAAGAATGGCCACACATGCCACTGTGCTTACCGTGAAATGCTGAGTTCATGCACTGCAGGTATCCGTACCGTACAGCCGACGTCGCCGTCTTCTGTTCCATGCCCTCCTATGAAGAGATGACAAAGAATCATCCGCTAATTCTATGCCCGCTCCCATGCATAAAATTCTTCGTTCCACTAGCATCCTGTGTAGCATGCACTTGCTCCTAAAGATGAGTAAACAGATTCCCTACCCAACAGACCTTCACACAACATGTACTGTACACTAGACTGAACCTGGATGGTAACTGGTTCCTTCCATGCAAAGTGTCACAGGCATTCTGGTGGCCATCTCAGCTTTTGCCGAGAAAGATTCCAGCTGCCAACCACAGAGCATTCTCTCAAACTAATGGTCCCGAAAAAATTTTTATCACATGGTGTTCGTTTAAATTTCATCTGTTGGTGGCCGTCAGTGAGAGGCCTGCTACCACAACAAACTCTAATTAATATTGTAACATTTTAAAGGGCCACAATTGGACAATCCCATTTCATCAATAAAACAGGACTGCATGCAGCGCGGACACTCCATTAAAAAAAACCATTCCCCCTTCCCTCGTAATGCTCATCCCATCATCAATGAAAGCAAAATGACAGTCTTGCCCATGGGCAACTTTATGTTGCGACTACTTCGTGTATTGGTCCTCTGCACTAGTAAACAGCACCTTCACTTTGGGGTTTGAATAATCAAGGTCTTCCAATAATCATACATGAATGCACTGGAGCGTGGACTAAAACGGCAAGCAATAACAAGTGAAAGACGGCAGCTTCCACCATCCTGAATGTAATGTCAAGAAAGCGACGCCATTATTCTATCAGTTATCTATCTTTAGAGCATCAGTGCACATGAATTCTTCATAGTTTCAAGTGTTTTTGAAGCAGCTCAGGTGCATTCTGGGTTACTTTTTCAGCCTCAGCACACATGGCAAAGTTATATCATCGAATAGCATTGTTTTGGCAGTAAGTGCAACAAGTGTGGTACGGGCACTGTTTGCAGAAATGTGTTGATTTTGTTCATTAACTTATAGTTAGGTTCGAGGATGCCCCGTACCTTGCATCCAGTCACTAGAAAACTAGGTGGTTCTTGCGTGAATCGTGAGCACCACTTGGACATCATCTTGAGTGTCAGCAGCAAGGTCCCCTCATGCACTGCACAAAAACACACAAACACGAGGCCACTGTAAAATACAGTTAAGCTTCAATAAAACAAAGTGGCCAAAACTGGCAATTTATTTCATCATATCAAAAACCCGATGAACTAAAATGAAGAAATTTAGGGAAAGTATGAGCACCACAATAGATGTCCTTTAACATAGCAGCAAATAACGAAGGCAAATCAGTTAAGTGTATTGACTAAATTGGCAAAACACTGAATTCTCCATTCACCAAGCCGAGCAACTTGCTCAAGGAGTAATGAATACATAGCAACAAAAACCCCTCATGTGCCACAACAACTCTAGGGATGACAAGCTACAAGTAACACACGTGCGGTAACAAGATGTACTCACCTTCGGCCTTGAGGACAGCTAGGAGGTGTCGCAAAGCTATCTCGCTGAGCTGCTGAATGTGGGAGGCCCCAGTCACCACATGGCAGCTCACCTCGCCAATGGCCGTCAGCACACTTAGTCTCTGCTCGGTTGTGGTCAACTTTCCCTCGGAGCCTGCAAGTTTTGAGACCAGACATCACCAAGTGCACCATAAAGATGCGGCTTGTGAAAAAAAAAATTAAACAAAGGAAGAACGCTTCTAAGGCCTTTAAGTTACTGTAAAGAGCAATCGTAGCATTGGCGTCAGCTCTGCCCACTGTATTGCTATTGTGGTTAAGGTAGGTCACCACCTTCAAGAAGTTTTAGTTTTTGTACAAAAGCTGCGCAGTAAAAGCTCATTTATCCGGACCTCATTAACTTGGAAATTTGGTTAACTCGATCTCACGGCGCAGTCCCGGCAAAACTGTGTATATTTCAATGAGGTCAAATGCTCATTAATTTGGAGGTATTTAGCCGCACACCGGGTAACTCGGACAACTCCGGAGAGGGCTATTGGGACTCCAGAGTCGCACGATATCGGCGGCTTGGAGGCTCAAGCAACGGTTGCCGTAATCGATGGCAGAACCCGAGTTTTTGAGAAACCGAAACCGAGTGAACTGCAGAATATGACCATGATGATAGTGAATGAGGGGGAAGTGGCTAGGTGGAGCTAGTCACCACCCGGCAAAAGCGCTTGGGCCACCGCAGCATCCAGTGTCTACTAACAGCTGCTCACTACGCCCATGCTACGCCTACTGGTGTACTTCGTGTCTTGGTTCTTTGTGTTGTGACTGCGTGTTGAGGCTTTGTTTGTGTGCGTTGCCGCCGCCGTCGCGCTTGATGGCGACCATCACAGGAATTGAGCGACCACAGCAGCCAGCAAATGATCTTGAAAGAAAGGTTATGATATTGAAAGACATGGATGCAAATGTTTCTCGACAGGAGATAATGAAAAAGTACGATGTTAAGAGAAGCATCTTAAGCGACTACGTGAAGAACAAAAAAAAATTTTTCGAGGTGTTTGACAGCGGCAAATTCACCGAAAAACGAAAACGACTAAGGACGGCAGCACCCCCGAAGCTGGAAGACGCGCTGCTGCGGTGGATAACAGACATTCAGAACAGCCAGCTTCCATTGAGTGGACTGTTGATCTGTCCTCAAGCTGAAAGGTACGCACTGAGAATGAACATCGAATCTTTTAGTGGGTCTGAACGCTGGTTTGCCCGCTTTAGAGAAAGGCACGGGTTGGTGTTTCGAAACGTGTGCGGGGAAAAAGCAGCAGTGGATGAACGGCGTATTGCTGACTGGAAGACAACTGAGCTTCCCCAGTACCTGGCTCGTTATGAGCCTGCCAACGTCTTCAATGCCGATAAAACGGCTCTCTTTTTTAAAGCCTTGCCGAACAAAACGATCACGTTCAAGGGCGAGCCGTGCGTTGGAGGGAAGAGGAGCAAAAAAAGGATCACTGTGCTTCTCGCTTCAAATATGTCGGGCACCGAGCGCTTGCCACTGCTAGTCATCGGGAAGGCACGTAACCCAAGGTGTTTTAAGAACATTCACCTGTTTCCTGTGCAATATCGTGCCAACAGAAAGGCCTGGATGACTTCGGATATTTTCCAAGCTTGGCTGCGCCAACTCGACCGCCGCTTCTCCGCTAACAAGCGCAAGGTTTTACTTCTAGTTGACAACTGCAGTGCTCATACCAGAGTGACAGGGCTGGAGTGCATCGAACTTGTATTTCTACCTGCAAACACGATGGCTGCTCTGCAACCGCTGGATCAAGGAATAATTCAGCACCTAAAAAGCAGGTACAGAAACCATGTGCTGGAACGGATCCTGCTGAGCAAGGAAGCAGGGCGAGAATATAACGTGACTCTCCTGACAGCAATTCACATTTTGGCTCATGCCTGGAGCGAAACGCCGCCCGTGGTCATTGCAAATTCTTTCCGGCAAGCGGCTTTGTCCGATTTGACAACTCTGATATTCCTCCAGAGGTCACTCCAGAGGACACCCGCAAGCCCACTGGAAATATGGACGACGAGGTGAATGACACGCGTTTTGACTCTCTCCTTCCTAGTGGTGTCCAGATTTTAGACTACTTCGCTATAGACTATCATGTTGCCGTTGTGCTCCCTACGTCAGCGTACAACGATATCAGAAAAGCTACCAGAAAGCTATAAAGAGCTGCTTGTGGGCTTTTAAAAACATGTGATTTCCTTGCAAAAGGCAGTCTCCTTTCAGCTGGGCCAGATCGGAAACACCGATCAGACCGCAGCACCGCAGCACCGATCAGACTGTTGAGTACTAAAGGTGTGCACCGACTTCGGGTACCTCAAAAGCTCGAGCCCCGCCTGGCCTGTGGGCCGGGCTCGGGCAGCCCGACGTCTTCTCACCTCGGGCCCGGTGCGGGCTCCGGCTTCTTATTTGTTTATGGAGCTAAATTCGGGCCGGGTGAAAAGTCCTAATCAAGCCAAAAATAAAGATAATGCGTCGGAATCGTCCTTGTTCATTTGTGTGCTTTTTTTTTAGAGTAGAAGTACACTTTTCGTGAAAAAAAAAATATATATATATATATATGAGCATTGAACCATTTAGTGATGGTTGTGACATTGATGAAGATACATAAGCAAGATGAAGTTAGTGAGTATGCGCAGTGAAACACTAAGCGCGTGCTCCCTATCAGATTTTGTCGAGTTTTGGAAAGAGAAAGCAAAACAACTATTCCAAACTTGGCATACTTAGAAGAAAGACACTGGCTATTCCAGCTACAAGCGCCACCAGCGCGTGCAACTTCACTACTGGAGGATACATAATGCAGGAACGACACACTCGACTAAAGCCTGAATCCATGGACAACTTTTTATTTCTGCACAATATTTTTGTGAATAGTTTTGCACTCAGGCAGTTTCAACATTTATCAACTAAAAAAAAGAAGCTACAGGGAAGGAAGGCACGCTTTTTTCTTAATAAATACATTATCATTTTCCTGTTGCCATGTGCTTCATTGCATCATTGATCGAGTCGGGCCGGGCCTTGCATGTAACACACCGGGCGGACCTGAGCGGCCCGTCCTCTTACATCATCAGGCTAGGCTAGCCCGCCTCCGTCAAGCATCAAGCATCAGGCCCGGACCGGGCCAGGCCAGGCCACGAAATTACAGACTGTGCCCATCTCTCCTGTGTACCTCGATATGCTCTTCTCGGCTCTGACAGTTCACGAAAACGGCCCCAGGCAAGTTACCGTGCAATCAAGTGAGAATGAGAAAATGGGGCTGACTGTAATGCTAGCTCGCACGGAAGATGGGTGCAAGTTGCCAGACTACGTTGTGTTCACACAAAAGATGCTGCCGAAGGGGGAGAAGTTCCCAAGAAATGTTGTCCGCTGCCAGGACAAGAGGTGGATGAATGAATCGCTCATACTTGACTGGATCAAGTCCTTGTGGAGTTGATGGCCTGCAGCACTGCTAGGGCTCCCATCGATGCTTGTGCTTGATGCATTTCGGTGTCATCTGGCAAACTCCGTGAAACGATTGCTGCACAACTCCCGCAACCGAGCTCGTCATTATCTCAGGAAGGATGACATCCTTGCTGCAGCGTCTTCATGTGCCTAAATAAGCCATTTAAGAACCCATCAAGTGCCTGTATATGGAGTGGATGAGGTCCGAAGAGCTGGAAGCGACCCCTGCCGGACAACTAATGCGGGTCTCGCCAACGATGCTGTGCTTGTGGATCCCCGAGTCTTGGGCCTGCATTCCCGAGAAGCTCGTTCACCGTTCCTTTAAAAGGTGCTCTATCTCGAACCCCCTTCATGGCACTGGCGATGAGGCGCTGTGGGAGGACATGTCCGACAAAGAAGCTTCGGATGAGAGCTTATAAGATGACGAGTGATTGAGTGTAAATAAATGCATTTTTCTGTTTTCCTCTGTCTATATTTGGGTGAAAACATTTTTTTCTTGCATTTGCTACACCCGAAATGCAAATCTGACTATATGCAGGACCAACTCATACAAGCGTTTTTACGGTAATTATAATTTTGGATTGTAATTACAATTTTAAATGGGGGCAGCGATGGCGTAGTGGTTAGAGCATCCGCCTCGCATGCAAAAGGTCCGTGGCTCAAATCCCGGTGCCGCGCAGCTCCCAACAGGATTAAAAAAAAAATCCGCGAGGTGATGGAACTGCATTAAGAGGCCTGGGGCGCGGTCTCACTGGTGACCACCGCCGGGAACGCACTCCCTCACCAGAGAAAGATTGGCCACCCTGGTGCAGTATCTGGCCACTACCTCCCACATGCATACGTCAAATAACTCACGGCCCTCAGTCCCCAGCAGCTGCGAAGCAACTGACCTCGGCGGCGGTCAGATCTGCAACGCAGCAGAGGGTGCTAAGAATCTCTGGATCCGGACAGATCGCCATTGAAACTTGAACTTGGCAACGTTTAACGCTAGAACCTTATCTAGTGAGGAAAGTCTAGCTGTACTATTCGAGGAGCTAGAGGGTGTTAAATCGGATATAATAGGGCTCAGTGAGGTTAGGAGGACAGATGAGGGCCATACGGTGCTACAGAATGGGCACGTCCTTTGCTATCGGCGCTTGGCTGACAGAAGAGAATTGGGAGTGGGGCTCCTAATTCACAGAAACATAGCTGGCAACATAGAGGAACACTATAGCATTATTGAAAGGGTGGTAAGTATCGTAATTAAACTGAATAAAAGATACAAGATGAAGGTGGTACAGGCTTATGCGCCTACATCCAGCCATGATGACGCTTCAGTTGAAAGCTTCTATGAAGACGTGGAATCGGCAATGAGTAAGGTAAAAACACAGTATACTATACTCATGGGAGACTAATGCAAAGGTAGGGAAGAAGCAGGCTGGAGACCAGGCTGTAGATTATGGCATCGGTACTGGAAACGCCAGAGGAGAGCTACTAGTAGAATTCGCAGAACGCAATAATTTACGGATTTTTAATACCTTCTACCGAAAACGAGGAAACCGCAAGTGGACATAGAGGAGCGCTAAAGGCGAAAATAAGAACGAAATAGACTTTATAATGACTGCACACCCAGGAATCGTGCAGGATGTGGAAGTGGTTGGCAAGGTACGATGCAGTGACCATAGAATGGTACGGTCTCG